TTATCAACGAATTTTGAGTTTTTGTTTATGCTGATGTTGGAAATTTGAGTAGACCCGGTACAGTTATGAATTTCAGAGGATTGTGAGTTTTGTTGGTGGTTGTTGTCTTTTTGACTATATATGGTGCTAGAAGTAAGAGGATAAGTGGATTGGTTATGCTCTGGTTGTTGGGATGTATTTGGCTTAGCAATAGAAGAGAATGAGGGAGCTGATTCTGTGAATGAAGATGAGTTTTAATGGAAGTTTATAGCTTCTCGCATTGTGTATTTTTTGTTTTTTTTTTTAATTTTTAGTATTTCCTTTGCTTGCAAAAATTTTTCACATATGTTGGAAGAAGAAGGGTGATTAGAAGAACAGTTTGCGCAAAAGATTCGTGTACAGACATCGGGGGAGTGTGGAGGCAAACTGCATATTTCACATGCGGGCGAACGGTTGCAAAATTTTGCAGTGTGTCCAAGAATCTGACAATTTTTGCATCGCATTGGGTAGGGAAAGTATTGCCTTACACTTACCTTGCGCCAAGCGATATTTAGCTTTTCAGGGATGTGAAAATGATCAAAAGTTAAAAGTACAACTCCAGATAGTTGCATACGATCATTTATATTTTTTTGAAATTTGTAGACAGTATCAACACCTTGGGAGCTTAGCTCCTGGATAATTTCATCTTCGGGCACATAACTAAGAAATGAAGCATAAACTGTACCTTTATTAAAGTTGAGATGATCTTGGTATTTAGCTATAATAGCACAAATGCCATGAAGTTCTTTCGAGGCGATGAATTTTTCGGCAACGTATTAACAAGTAATAGTAAATTTCCATCACGGAGCTTTGAAATCGATTGGATTTCTTTGCTAATAACATTAATTGAACTATGAACGGCAAAACAAGAGTATTGCGAAAGGGTTTTTTTTTTTCTTGTTTTTAAACCGGTTTTCTTCCACTTGGGGGGGGCCGGGGGGGCATTATTTTTAATTTAGTTTATTACTATTTCCGAAGGTATTTTGAATAACCTAGTTCAGAAAAGAAGGTTTAAATATGGTGTAGAAACTCAAATTAAATACACACTTAACCGTGAAAATATAATGAAATAGAGTAAAGAGAGAGCAATCCGCTTGGTACAAGTGACAGTCGGAGACTGTAAAGTTTTGTAAAAAACAGCTTTCACAGAGAATAATGGCAAAAATAATAACAAATTTCACTGCAACATTCTGTTACGTTGAAGTCTACGATATAATAGTTTTTCCAAAAAGTTTTGAGGAGCACAAGGAGCAATTGAGTAAAGTAGTTGAAGCAAAGAGCAATGCAAATATGAAAATTTTATTTGAAAAATGCAAATTTTATAACGAAGAAGTTGAATTTTTATCTCATTAAAGCCAATCCGAGAAAAGTGGAAGCTATTGAAAATTCTCCGATACTAATGACTTTACGTCAATAAAGGAATTTTTGGAAATAATTGGATATAACTGAAAATTTATCAAAGATGATGCAAATATGGCAAAACCATTACAAAAAATTTATGTGGAAAAATGTTAGAATATCACAGCATACACTGAAGGGATTTTTTGAGCAATTGAAAAATTAAATCACCTTTGCAAATATAATAGAGCTTGTTCAACCAAATTTTGATGATAAATTTGTTCTAACTAAGAGTGCATCGAGTGAAGTTATTGGATAAGCCTATAACTTTCATATCAAAAACACTCAATTCAAGGAAAAAAAATTATATATAATAGATTATGAAAAGAAACTTTATGCAATTCCAATGGCTTGAAAAACTTAAGGTTCAATACTTGGAAATTTGAATATCCAACCGTTAACATTTGCAATTTCGCCTGCAACCATATGGAGCAAAACTACTTATAAGCTAGGTAAAACAAATACAGAAGCAGATGCACTTTCAAGAAATCTATAACCTTATACAAAGCTTGCGATGAATATTAGTTACATACACATAACTTTACTTAAGCTGTTCTTAGGAAATATTAAAACGCTTGATACATCCTAAAAAGTGCGCTTGACTTATTCTTAAAGAAGTGCCGCGGTAGCCGAGTGGTTGGCATTGCCTACATCCCAGTTATAGAAAATTAATTTAAATAAAAAATTAAGTTAAATTTTCTAATTGCGGTCGCCCCTCTGCCGGGAATGTCAACCCCTTCGAATGTATTTCTGACATGAAAAAAGGCTCCTCATAAAACACCCTCAGCTGTTCGCAGGTGGCTTAGTGTAAACTGAAGGTCTCCGCTCCCATTTGTTGGAAACTGGGCTGAAAATCGCTTCAGTGGCTACAAAGCGCCAATTATAATATAAAATTATAACCAGACATCCGAAGGACGTGCAGTTTAACGAACTATGGAATTAGTTCATTTAAGCAAATCACTGGAAAAATGTTATGTGATTTACAAAATATTTACGATTCACAATAAGACAATTAGTCAATTCACAAACTTTATCTTAAGCCTTATGTCTTATGTCGTATTTCAATACTGTTGTTGTATGTCATATTACGCAATATTTCTTCGGTCGCACTCCACTTATGCTCCGGGCTAAAATTGCGGAGTACATATGTACCATTTGAAATCACATTAACAACAAAATAGTCTTATACTTCATATTTCTTCCTTCCTCATTATTAAACAAATTGACGAAATTTATTTATTTTAGAGACTTAAATATCAGCAATAAAAAAGAAACTAAAGCAAAGCCTGTTTGGTTTGACAGGTGTCCAAAAACAGCCCTGTACCAATTTTAGAGTTTAGTTTGGAAAATACTTATTAGCATTTGACTACTTCTCACATAGTCGTATCATTAATATATTTGTACAAAGCTATTATCAGCACGTCAATCAGGAAATTCAACCTCAATGACGAATCATCACCAAACTGCTTGTGTGTTCCGATAACATTGATATAATCAGCGTTAGCAATTGCGCCATTAGCTCAGCCCTCTCCAAGCTTGGCAGAGAAGCGACATGAATGGGTCTGGTGGTGAGCAAAAGCAAGACAAAGAATCTCCTGTTATCAAACGAACAATCGGCGTACTTACAGTCTGATTCCCACGTGACTTTTGTTAGCCATATCTTCGAGCAGATAGATAATTTCGTCTATCTAGGGGCCAGCATTAACACCAATAATAATGTCACCCTCCAACTCCAACTCTTACCTGCAGGTGCTAAACTCCTCTCTCAATGAATCTTAACTAATCATTGCCTTCCTCCTAATAAAGGGTGATTTTTTAAGAGTTATAAGAAAGTATTTAAAAAGCAAAAAAAAAACATAAAGTTCAATAGAACGGTCCATAATTTTTAATGTTTGAAGATTATTTCATGCAAATGTTGACCGTGACTGCGTCTCAAATGGTCCAACCGCTAAGTCGAATTTCGGGATATTTTTTCCAACATTTCGATTGATATCTCACGAATAAATGCTTCAGTGTTCTTTCCCAATGTTTTAATTGAAGGGGGCTTGTTTGTAAAGACATCAAAGGCGTTAAGTCGCACGATCTAGGCGGCCAAATGACCAATCCCGAACGTGAAATAAAATGTTCAACGAACTCACCTCTCAATAAATCCATTTTTACGCGTGCTGTGTAGCAGGTGGCACCGTCTTGTTGTAAGCACATGTCATGCTAGTCAAACTTTTGCATTTTGGGCAAAACAAAAGTTGATATCATCTCAGGGTAGCGCTCACCATTCACAGCTACGTTGCGATTCGCATCATCTTTGAAGAAGTACGATCCAATGACGCCACCAGTCCATAAACCGCACCAAATTGTGACTTTTTCTGGATGCATTGGTAACTCTTGCAATGCTTCTGGTTGATCTCCACTCCAAAATCGTCAATTCTGCTTATTTACACACCCATTAATCCAAAAATGCGCTTCGAAGCGCGCGCGGAAGAAGAGCGTGATTAACTCTCTTAACAGAGCACGCATTTTGATAATAAAATTAAATAATTTTCAAGCATTGGTCATTTGTAAATTATAGACCAAACTGAAAATGTTTGACAGCAGTCATGGAAGATGTCAAAGAGTCAACATATGTATCTGAAAGCCATTCCTAGTTATCAATTCGGCGTGCTAGTGGCTCACATTTACAGTCGGAGGTATCTACGTCAAAGCTGTTTACGAACATCTACGCAGGCACAGTCGCCGCAGCAGCCACCAATATCGGCAACGCGTAAAAAGAGTTATTCAAAAGTTGGAATTTAACTTCGGACATCCAGAGGTACTAATAAAATTACAGCTGTCAAAAATGCAGAATTTTTCGTCTGTCAACGATGTATATACTGAAGAAAAAATTAATAGAGCACTCATAGAGCGCTCACTCCAAAAGGAGCGAATGCATTACAATTCATTCGCCTAACATGCGCAAAGCGGAGTTACAGTTTAGCTGCTAACCAAGTACAAATCTCCCCAACCTATTACTATAACAAAGTTAACTTTTATTTGTACGCTGGGAAACAAACGGAATTTCAAAATTAACGAAAACCATTAGTCAAGCTACCTAACACCAAATACCTACACCATTCGCAGTGCATATTCAATGGTTTTACGGCTGCTCTGTACACACTCTACCATGGCTTTATAGATGTTCACTTTAAGCCCCTTTTACCACTCACACGGCCTTCGAAATCCGACCAAAATATGTCGAATGTTTCAAAACAGTTCATTATATTATTGCATTAATCAACCCTTCTATCTTAACATATTATTAAATACAAATTATGTTTAATACAATTATATATGTATATATTATATTTAATATTTAAGCCTAGGACCCTGACCTACCTCAACAGACGAATTTCTGACTCTTATTTTCTCATATATATTCACGCTTAAGCTCCTCTTTAAACGATTGTAGTAATAGGTACAAACATACAAATTGAGTTATTGCATGATAATAAATACATGGATGAAAATATTAATACGTAAATTTATACACATTTCGTATGGTAAACGGGAATGAAAATAGTAATAATAATAATGGAAATAGATTAACTCACTTTGAAATAGTTCCACGAAGCGAAAAGGCCTCCTCTTTTCTCTTTAGAGTTTTGAGCCAATACGTATTTAGTTAATTATCACTATCAATATAAGCTTGCATTTTACTATTAGCGCATAGCGTAATTTGAGAGAGTCCAAAAAAAAAAAATATATATATATATGATATGGTCTACATATTTGCAAGAGTACACAGACTTTAATACTAAGAAATACATAGTAAAATTAATGAAGAACGGAATACAAATTTATGAATGAAATTTGTCTTATTCGTTAATAAAATTCATTTTTAAGAATCGCAGTGAATTTAGTAGCTTAAGGTGAGTACATCGAAAATGGTATATTAAAATATAATTTAAGGATAAATTTCAAGGTGAGAAATAATATGGTAAATACATAAACCTTCTTGCAAGACTTTTTCGAAGCTGTTCTTGACCTGAAGCTCGCTTTTGTCTTTACTTTTCTTTTTTTCTTTCTTCTATTTTGAAACATGATAGCACTAAACACAATGTATTTTCTTCAGTTGGTATTTTGTATTATTTAATATTCCAACTGGGTTCGATTATGGCTACTTGTTCCAAAGATTGAGTAAAAAAGAAAGAAACTCACGAAAATTTGTGAGAGGCCAAAAGAATCTTTTATCGTTTCATCGTTAATTCGATAAATCTTATCATCTGATCATGTCATTTATGAAGAGGACTTTAAAAAAAGATGTGTTCAGTGTCTGACATTTTATTTGATAAAAAAAGTAAGAACTAAAAGTAAACTGAAAGTAAGCGGAACGGTGTATAAAACACCTATGCGAATTGTCTTAGCATGTACCTACGTTACAACCACGTCTTCAAATGAAAACCCACCGCAATACATGCAGCCGGTATGTCACGGTGAACGAAACCCGAGCCCGCTTAAGAATACAAGCAAAATAAAGAGAGCTAACACGAATAACGCTACTCAAGAGGCTTCAACCTCACTAGCCGGAAATATATTCGCGGCATCTAGTGAGGAAGAACCTATGTTAAAAAGCTCTACTGAAGATTGTAGTGCATAGATGGGCTGCAAAAGCCACCAACAAACTTTTGTATTTACGCGAGCGCAGCTGAAAAGAGTTAGCAAAGGGTATAACGCTCATAATAGGAACTAGCAACTTCCACATTGTTCCCTTGAAGTGGGGTAATATAGACGAGACCAAACTTCAAGTATGAAAATATTGAGGAAAGCTTCCGTCAAATTGTAAAATGTCTATCAGACATTTTATTCTTATCAGTTGAAAGCTCGAAGGGCATATAAGCTAGAGCAGGTTCAGAAGAAATAAAAGGAGCTCTAGAAGGTCAGATCCATAATTAATATTATCAATTAAAACAGCGTACAGCAACCAATGTGCTAGATAGAACTTGCAAAAAGCTCGGTAGAATTGAGGAAAAATTAAGTATTGTACATCCCATATATAAATTCAAACATTTTCTACACCGTAGAATTGCTGTCGAAGTGCCACAAAAAAAAATGGACTAGTCCACTGCATAAATTCCCAATAATTCAGTCACACACAATTTTAGCGTACCCTTCGTACTATGTGCGTAGTTTGTGGTAAGTTACATCACTCATTTAAATGTTATAGGTATAAGAAATATTTAGCTCTTAAAAAATGTAGTAACTGAGGTGGTGATGACACTGTCAACTATCGAGGTTGCCCTGTTTACAAAGAACCAAAATCTAAACTAAATCAGGGTATACAATATAAACGCGCGCTTAAGAAACTGAGAGAAAATGTTTCTTCAAATATTTCATTACTAAGGCCTATATCCAGTTCTTAAGTTATGATCAAACTCCATATAAAAAAATACTTAAGTTCATGAATAAGAAAATTGTATGTGCGTTTTCATAAAAAGAAACTCATGTAGTAACCCGTACGAACTTGGCAAAATATAAATTTCAACAATTGTTTTCTTAAGGAAAGCAAGTAATCAATGTAATTGTAATTGCACATGGCTGACTGTGCTGGTGAAATGCTATTTGCTTATTCGATAGCAATACGTAGGGGAAAATAACATAAACACGCACTATTCCTCTTTTACTTTGTTGGTCTGGTATTGGCCACAAATTAAATATTAATTGGTTATATTAGACAAGCTGATTGCAGTAGTTGGCTTATTTTAACAAAAGGTCGTTTAATATAATATATACTTATATTTATATATGCCATTGTTTACTTGACAATGAACTTAGGAACTGGAAATAGAATTTTAACATCGAAAAAGCCCTCATACGAAGAAGCATTGAAGTCAAATCCAGAGAAATTGTCGTCAAGTGCAAATAGTGGAAGTATAGAAGCAATGATAAGCCAATCAGCTTTAATCTTTCACACAATATGCTCGAGAGGACCTTAAAGGCGATATTAAAGAGGCTTATCCCACGGTAATTGTCGCAGATTGTGGGGTCCTCTTTTTATGGATTGGGCAGAGCACACTTAAATTCCAATCGTCGGGCATGCTTTCGTCCGACCATATTCTGCAAAGTAGCTGATGCATGCACCTTGTCAACTCTTCACCGCAACGTTGGAATAGTTCTGCCGGTAAGCCGTCAGGTCCCGCCGCTTTGTGTGTTTTTAAGCGGGCGATTGCTATTCAAACTTCTTCTTGGTCATATCATATGATAAGAAAATTACATCTAACTAAAATCATCTTAACATTTTTTCTCCGAGGCGCCCTGCGCAATTGCCAACTGATTAAAATAAAATACCTGATCTTATAGATTCTGCAGTTACAAAAACCATTGATAGAAACCTTATAAATGCAGAAGCCAGTTCCAACTTATCCTCCTATCATTCGCCAGTTATGACCAAGTTATTCAAACAACCAACTATAGCTGAGAAACCATTTAGCCTGAAAATGTCCAGAACGAATTAACTTAAGTGCACCCACATGAAAATGGGCTACTGTAGATACACCAAAACCAACAGAGAGTAACCGAAGTACAAAACGAATAACTAACAGCCTAGTAATCGAAAAGTTAAGACTGCGCCAAGAATGGCAGAATAATTGATCGCCCTAATCAAAAATAAGCTGCTGCAAAAAAAGCAGAGGATTTTGAAATGTGAAGAAGAGACGCACCTGAAGAGATTTATCTCCACTTTGACGCCAAATTCTTCTCAAAGAAGTTCACTATGGAAGCGAAAAAGAACTTTGTGCCACCAGCAGAAATTGCGAAACCGCTCAGACAGAAAATCGGTACTTGGGCCCGTTCTGTAAAAGAAAAGGCGAAATACCTGCAAGTCACCTTGGCGAAGTATTCAGTAGGACTATTTTTGACGTGAGGAGGACCTCATCCGAGATAAAAGTCATAGCAAAAACGTTAAATATCAGGAAGTCGTCTGATTACGGCCACATAACACTACAAATTCTAACAGTTCTAGCAAATATTGCTTCCAACTTCTTGTCTCAATTAATTATAAATGATAGCCAAACCCGGAAAAAGATGCAACGCTGCCATCATCATATCGGCCAATCAGCTTGTTGCTTGTTCTTTCCAAAGTTTTTGAAAAGGTGCTGCTGCACAAGATGACTACTTTTCTCCAAGATAAAGAAATTATACCAAATCATCCATTTCGATTTCGCGAAATTATTGCTCAGCAATATTTTTGGAGTGTGCAAACACTGAATATTAGCAGACGATACCGCTATTTTATTTCGGAGCAAGTGCCGAATAAATTCCTGAAACACACTAGAAATTCACTTAATTCATTCAATGGAAGTTGGCTGTCAAACTAGCGCATAAAAGTGTACGAGCTAAAGTTTAAGCATGCAACATTCACTTTAAAGATATATACATACATGCCCAATACCGAAACTAAACATTGTAATACTCCCTCAAGCAAGCGATGTAAAATACCTCATCATTCGCCTCGATTGGCGACTTACCTGCTAAAATACAGAACTTCAAAAAAAAATACAGGCTTATGTTTGGGTCATAAAGTCAATATGGACGCATGGAATACAATTATGGGGTTAGAGACCTCGAAATACCAGTGGTAAGCACTGAAGTGATAAATACCTGTCGAAACTGCAAAATCATCTGAATCCTCAGCGAACGTTTAATATTGCCCAGCAAGTCGAATTTGCTTTCAAAGAAAATATCTGAATAATTTCTGATTTCACTCGGTATTTATAACTTTCACCAACTGACGAAGAGAAGGAATGAATGGCGCCCTATTTTTGATTCGGGTGAAGTAAACTGACATAATTTCTTTTGCTGCTGATTTTTGTTGCTTAGATTTAGATCGTACTTATAAAACCAAGATTCGTCACCAGTAACGACTTTACTAAAGTTGATAGACCATTTTCGAATTTATTTAGGAAAAATTACTTGTATCTCAGATGATTCCTTAATATTCGCGATACAGCCATGGCATTCAAATCCAATTCATTAGCAATCAGTTCTTGTGTCAATCGTGGGTCTTCGTAAATTTTAGACTTCACCAGAGCTACAATGACGACATCAGCGAAAGATTTGGGGCGACCTTCACGCAGCTCGTCCTCAATGGAAAAATGTCCGGTCACGAATCTTCGTAAGCACTTAGAAACGGTGCAATCGTGCCACATGCAATTTGACATTCACTGAGTATTTCTATTGGCTGTTAATTACCCCGAAACCCAAAAAAATCACATGGTGAAATTTCGTATGCGTTGGTGGTGGAATTTCGTTTGACCTATAACTGAGAATATTGCGTTTACTCCTCTCCATTTTAGCCGATCGTTCTAAAATTTGAAAGGAAGACTAATAAAGTAATTGTAAAGGGCTTGGTATTTTTAGATTTAGCAAAAACAATTTGAAAGTCACTAACTGACCGAACTGTTGCTAATCCCCCCGTAAATACCGGTTGTCTAACCTCCGCCACTCTTGGCAAGCAACTATGAGTGGAAATCTTATTAAGGTAAAAACATAGCGGTAATTATATTGTGCTTTTGAGTATCGACTTGAATTATTAATTTTTACACACCGATTGATTTAATTGATACACTTTTTTCTTCTCAATCTTTATAACTTGAAAGATATATACATATATGTACGAGAATATATATTTCCATTCGGATTTTTTATATTTATTGAATCGGTCTCGACATCGGAAGCCTATAAATAAGTAATAAAATCTTGAGCTAAACTAAATCATATAGCTCATTAGTAGGAATGGGCTGCTGGCTTGATGTTGCTCTTTAGAAGGCTGCTTTGTCTCCTCTCCGCAGGAGGGTTTGACTTTTTGCATGGGCCTAGGTATAACCAAATTGTTGGGATGTGTACGCAGTTTTGTTATGCATTTTTTTGCTGCGATTTCAATCCTTTCCGTGATGGTAAGTATATTTAGATCTCTATACATATTTTCATTACGCATGTAGCATGGTGCTTTCGTTATTACTCTTAACGTTTTCGATGGCAACCTTTGAATTATATCTATACTCGTCGCACATCGCTGAATTACATACATTCATATCGGTTTTATTGTTGCATTATATAAAAGGACTTTGTTGCTAAGGCTAGTTCCAGACTTCTTGTGTAAAAGTCAATGTAAACTGGCAGATTTGAGTATAAGCTGAAGTTTTTTTTAGCTGCAATGTTTTATCTCCAGTGGTAATTTCGTAAGCCTCCGGAATAGATACATTGTTGAGATCAACAGTAGGGAACAGAGCTTGGAGCATTTAGCTTTGCGCCTTTACTTGGTTTTGGACCATACTAAGCATGGTTCACATAAATTGTGCCATGCATTAGGTTAGATTAAGGATTATGGTCTCTACTTCAGCACTGGAAGGAACGACTGGTGGGATCTGTTCACTGGCTTTTACTACGTTGCCATAGGTCCTTTACCTATTTTAGCTCGAAAGGGGTCAAAATGGAAGTAGCATATGGGAGTTGGTTTCGTTTTGCTGTTATACGAGGTGTAATCAGATAATAGCCGTTATTTTCAAATTTTTCAAAAAGTCCTTGTGCATTTAGTTTCATTTTTTACACACAACTTAATACAGTACAGTTTTTTCGAATAGTAAAAAATCGAGCAGCGCACCAAAAAACGGCTAACCTTTTCATCTGTCAAAAACAAAGTGACAAACCAAAAAAGTTGACATTACCGACATATATAACAGACATGTGTACCAACCCAACAGAAAAAAAGCGAAAATAGAACATACATAACTCACGAAATTTGAAAATAAAATATAAATATAAAATATTATTTCAGATCCAAATGCTTAGTTGGACATCATCTTGCATTAACAGTAAAATTCTAAAGTTACTAAGAACATAAAAGCTCCAATTCAAAATATTAATATTCCTTCTGTACGATGTGAACATATTCATATGAATTTAGTAGGACCTCTTCCAGTTTCAAAGGAGAATCGATACATATTAACAATCATTGACAGACATACTGGATGGCCGGAAGCATATCCACTTAAAGACATTTTAGCGGTTTCTGTTGCAGCTACAACACAATTTACTTCAAATTATTTAATGAATTAACAAAGTTATTTGGTTCTCACAAAATGCACACTTCTCTATATCATCCACAGTCAAATGGAATGATTGACAGATTTCATAGAACTTTGAAAACTGCAGTTACAGCATCAAAGATTCATCTGAAATTTTACTGTGGATTCTTTTAGGTTTACGAATAGCGATTAAGGAAGATCTCAAATGTTCTTCAGCTGAATTCGTTTATGGTCAAACACTGAGAATTCTGGGTGTACTTTTTGTTTCCAATTATTATTATAATAAATTAAGAAAACATTTCACACTTGTTCGATCGAAGGTAACACATCATAATAAAGAAAATAGTTTCATTCCTAAAAATCTAAGTTCTTGCGAATATGTATTTGTTAAAGTTATTCATAAGTCTAATCTTCAACCCCCTTATGAGGACCAATTAAAGTTATATCCATACATAACAAAACTTTTGAAATACAATATGGAAATAAAATTAAAACGGTATCAATAGATTTACTACACCTGCAAACATTATGTCAACCACTTCACGACGAAACACAACTACACGGACAAACACCAAACAAAATAATTTATATTCAATCTTAATTAATATTAATAAATATGTGTTTCACTGGAGGGGGAGTAAATGTAGGAATCTACTTTAACATTTTTAACTTACAATTTTTAATTTTTAAATAAACACAATGTCACTGATTTTTTATTTCAAATATTTTCATTTTTCTAAATCATTATAATTTTCATTTTCATATAGAAAGCTGATGATCAATAAATTTTATTTAAAAAAATAAAATATTAAAGTTTTTATTTAAATGTATAGAAACAAACTTTTCTATAATATATAATGCCTTTAAGCATTAAAAAATAATAACTTATGTACACATATATCAACTGAAAACGCTTATGCATAAGTATACAAGACGAATGCATGACAAACCTACATGCATGCATAGATTTGTGAACTCATTCAGCTGAAAAACATACGAAACCAACGATTTAAAGCTGTAAACTTCGTAAGAAATAAATGCAAAATAATTTTATATATTTCATTCAATGGTTTTGTTATTCATTTGCTACCTTTATATGTATATGCAATTATTTGTTTGTCTACAAATATTGAAAATCGCTTTTATAAATACCTCAAGCTTAGCCAGCAATTTCCCAATTTATATCTTCAAGTACATGTAAGTATAGGCCGCAGCGAGCAAAAACATATGCAATTTTACAATTACAATAAATACACTGGTTTGCCATAAAAACAGTGTTCATTTGACATAGCTAAAACAAATAAAGTGGCTTATGCGATTCTTGTGAAAATTTTAAATTAAATGCATTTATATGTATAATACATACAGTGGGTCAGAGATACTTTTCTATCACGTGACTTCTGATTGTCGCACCACGTAACCGTATTTTATTTTGCCATGCATTTTGGCGTCGTATATGATTAGTTTCAAACATTTTTTAGTATGCTGTAATAAACCACAGAGACAGCCAGTGGATTTATAGAAGAATGGGTCGTCGTACAACAATTGAGCAGAGTGAACTAGTCATAAATCATTTTAAAAGTTGTAAATCGGTTCGAAAATTTGGTGAAATTGTGAACCTTAGTGCCTCCACTGTACAGCACATCATGAGCGAGATTTACATGAAAATCGAGTGGAAAATAAAGATATAAGTGCGACAAACAAAATTTTTGTGATTCATTATCCAGATTAAAAGTAAAATGGCATCGCTAATTATTTTTCTCGGACCTCTGATGCCCTTTTAGAGCTTAAAGAGTTTTGCAACAACACTCAAAGTGCAAATTATTCGGTCCTCTCTCTAGAAATCCAGAAAGAGAACTTAAGGCGTTACGGATAAAAGTCAAGCAGATGTTTGACGGATATTCGCGGAATCTTTGTCGGGTAGAAAATTGGATACATCGGCTATGCTTGCTGCAAAATGTCGGTATCAGGTTACTACGCAACGGTGAAACCTCCCCGGGAACCTGAATCGGCTCCACATTCGAGTATTAATCTCTCCTCTTGCGACCTCGAAAAATTTTTCGGTAACTATATGGTATGACCATCTTTCCGTGACTTATTTACCGCAATATATATTACTAATTACCGTTTACCCCGGCTGAAAAGTTTTACCACCTCATTTAGAAGACTCGAGGAGAAGCCAAGGATATCGTCAAGAAATCTCCATTGACTAGAGGTGGGTTTTCGTGGTAAAACTTACCTGACCGTTAGAGAGTAATGGTAAATATTCAATTATACGTTACTCAACTTGCCTACAGTGACAGTATAGCGCTGTGGAAAAATTAAAAACTTATAACGAGCTGCAAACAATTGCATCTCATTGGATGTTATTTTTGTATTCTTAGTTTCTAGCAGGTTTCCGGATAACACCATAGCACTTTGGGAACAATGAATAGTAGACAAGGCCGAAATTCCGAGGTTGGAATAACTAGATAGATTCTAGACGCTAGAAACAGTATCAAATATTCAAAGTACGCAAGTATTTAAGGTAGGACAAAATAGGATTCATATAACATCGTTGGGGAAAAAACTTGCCTAGTCACCATACCCAATTTTCACAGCCTGTTTGTAGATTATGCCCATCATATGCGCTAAAGGCTTGTCCAAAATTTTTAGCTATGAAGAAGGACGACCGAACCAAGATAGTAAGGATGTACAGCTAGTGCTTGAGGTGTGTAGCACATCCAAATATTGCACAAAAGAGCAAGAGTACCTTTACCTGTTTCGGTTGTCACCAACGACATCATTCATTTCTACATAGGGCACCGACTGGAAACAGGCCATCGCCATCAACCAGTCGTTCCCAATCAGATAACAGAGAAGATAAGGGTACTCAATCTCCAACAACTTCCAGCGAGATTCAGGCCCTGTTTGCAGCAAATGCATTGCGATAGTATACATATGCTACAAAGAAGTGAATTGCGAAGCAAGGGCACTTTTGGATTCTGGTCACAGGGCACGTTCATCACAAAGCGGCTGGAAAGACGCATTAAACTATTAACACAACCTGTGGACTTTCAGATAAGTGTCATCAACACAACGACACCAGCTAAGGTACGAGAAGTTGCGCGTTAGGTTATTGGTTCTCCTGCTAATCTCGATATTTGAATTGAGGCAGAGGCCCGATTCTCCTTCAACTCACAGAGAACATCCCACAGCTTGCAGTTGGCCAATTGGATTTGAGTCTACTGCCACCGATTAATTTAGCCGATGTCAACTTTTATAGAAGTCAGTATGTTGATTTGGTGATTTGTGCGGACCTGTACCCAGCGATAATGATGGGAATTATTAAAAGGAAGGGATATTTTTTAAATATTATAGTACAGGAAACTCCCCGCGGTGAAGTAGCATTGACACAAAGGCGTTGTTACTAAAGTGGCGTTTTTTCAAATATGTTTTTAATGCAGATATCGAGTAGATGTATCGACATATTTTATTGCAGGAGGTTGACACGAAGTTCTAGTGGATTATTCTTAGAGATTCCATACCTAGCAATAAGGACTCTACTTCAGCTGGCGGAAGATGTTAGTTTGAAATATCCACTAGCCTCAAGAGTCTTGAAGCAGGATATATATGTGAACGATGCTCTGGCTGGAGCACATGATTGTGAGATAGTCATTCGCACTCGGAATGAACTTGTGCAATCCTTGCAGGGAGCTGGTTTCCACTTGCGGAAATAGACCTCAAACACTAAGGAAGTTTTGGCTGCTCTGGTGCAGAATTGTTCGACCCGGAAGGCTGGTTGGTTCCCATCGTGGTGGAGGCAAAAATACTAATGCAGGGTGTATGGCTCATGAAGATTGACTGGGATGATGTTCACCTAGAGGAATTTACTTACGGTAAATCAGAGTTCCAAGATGGGTTAGTTTCTCGCCTTGAAATGAAATTGAGTTTCATGTTTTCTGTGATGCTAATTGATGCCTTACTCCCACAGCTCGACGTTGCCAGTGGTCTCCAAATGGATGAATTCTACCATCGTTCTGTCATGGATGCGGAAGCACATTGCAGCTGGACTACCTTTATAGCAAATCGGTGGCGAAAATCGAAGAACTAGTTGGAGTCATTGGATGGAATCATGTGGATTCTATTGGCAATCTCGCCTATCTGGGCAGCCGCAGAGAGCATCATCTGGTGGCGCGGTACGTCATTATTGAAACGACATCCAAAAAAGAGATGTCATAATGAAAACAGAATTGGAGCAAAAGATTGTGAGAATTCATACAGCGCAAATTACATACACAGAAGATATCTTGCAATAATTGCATTTTTAGGATCAGATCACCGCGTTCGAGTAGTAGAAATGCTTACTACACGTTGTCTAACAACAAGACCAATCGTTATATTAGTAATGCTTCCTGTTGTAAGACCAACTAATGAATCCTTTTTTTCTGAGAATTACGAAATGATTCAAGTCAACAACATCAACATCCTGAAGGACCAACACCGCCGTCCAGTCTGCAAGAACAACCATCCGCTTCTATTTTGCTAACAGATGCGCCGGATTAAATCCACAGAGAGACTCCGGGCTGTCCTCTTCAACTGTCACTGTGCCTATTGTCTGCCGCAGCATCACATAGCCAGCCGATGTCCATCGGCAAAGCATGCCACGAACGGCACCACAGTCTCCTTTATCTGTGCGAAATGGAGGAAGACCTGCCTTACATCCAAGGCATGGTAGACGGTCAGTACAAAAGACAGGGTCCATACCGAGCTCCACCGTTGATTGAGTCCACCGATGAAGAAGTGTTGCAAATAGATGCCAGCAGCAAAACTCTGGTAGAAATAACAGAGCCAGCGTCCAGTCGCAGCGATCCGACGGTACTCAGATCGCTGCTAACGAATGTCCAATCAGTGATTCAGCGGCCAATCCAGCCCACCAAAGAACAAATTGTGCACCCACGACAACAACGAAGTCATAATAATCAAGCATATTCAGAGAACAAGCAGATCTGTCCCCACGCCGACGGTAATGGTGACGCTTACCTTGAAGGGTGAATCTGAGATTGGCCGACCCGTTCTTTTGTAGGAAAATCACCGTGTGTTTATATTAGATGCCGATATTTACGCAGCGATTCTGAGGCCAGGATTAATGCCTGCAAAACTAAATAGGCCAGGGGCACAGAGCACACTTTGGATAGGTGATATCCGGCAGTATTAGGAATTCGTAATAATCATCTTTAGTGTCAAGTAAAATGAAATGTGAATTAAATTTTCCAATGAAGTGTTATTTATGAATTTTTGATCTATAGTTTTTGAGCTTTCATTGAAAGAATAACTTGTATTTATAAACCTATTTAAGTATTTCTATTGCCGGTCTAACGTTCTCTTTTAATTATAGCTTTGAACGCAACAATTTTACAATTACTAACGTTAATAAAATCGAATTTAACTTTACATCCGCAATTTTAATTTTTGCAGGCTTTTTAAAGGACCACCACGATCCCCGTTGCTGGATTTCACGAGGAATTCCGGCTTCCGTCAATTCTCAATAAAAAAAAGTTACATTTACTTAAATAAATATATTGCGGTTACAAACATCCATGAAACACACCATTACACTATACACACATACACTTGGTTTTACACACAAATGTTTTATAGGTAAGCGAAATGGAGCATACGTGTATATCCAATTAAATTTTTTAAATACACATATGTATGCTCAAATTTTAGAAATATTATATTTCACTATACTTAAATATTATTAGCTTATAATTGGCTTTCATGACAATAATAAACTTTTACTCACTTATGTATGTACAAACCAAGGCACATAATCACAAATTTATGTATTTTAAATAGTATAGAGAATATACCAAAGAAAGAGGGTGGGAACAGCATTATCCTTCAGCATTTTCGCCTCCCACTGCACTCTTTTCAAAATGCTTTTGACATACGAAGACATTCTGGCTAGGCTGTTCATCCAACGAAAAAATCCTAAGATAGCAAAAATCTTGACCTAATTTAATATATAAAAGCTATTGGAAACCAATAGGATCTTATACTGAATTGCCGTTGACAATTACGGTTTTACATTATTTAAAACAATATACATACTTATTATCAAAAGCTAAGATCTTGTAAATAAATTAATGCAAGTATCCCTAACTCTGCTCAACTTAAGAAAAGTTAAAAGGATCTAATTTATGGCTTAAAATATTGCTTACACCGCCTAAAATCTAAACCCGACGTTCCACACAATACTGACATTGATAATGCGGTGCATGTACTTAACTAAAAGATAGCAATTTTAGCGACATAAGAGCGGAAAATATAACTAAATAAGTGATTTCTAGATGCTGGTCAGAAATAGACAATGGTAAGTTTATTGATTCCCTGTAAGATGTGATAGAAACCGTAACACGTCACATAGCCTCGGCCCCCGCGTCAAAACAAACAACTGATGCTGAGGTATTCACCTACCTAGTAAAGAGCAACGCCGAGCCAGCAGCCCGTTCCTAGGTATTCAGTGATTAACAATTTATTGTCTAACATTACGCTCCCAATGTCGAAGCAGTTTCACTAAATATATACAAAGGTTAATGTGAAAAAAACTTACGTCAGAAATACACTTGAAGATATTGACATTCTTTGTCGAAAGGCGATCACATTTTGAAAAATTAAGGAATTAATTATTGTCACAAACTCGACTCAAGTGGCCTCCAAAAATAAAAGCGGAAAATAATTTGCAATGCGTGGATTCAGAGACCCATTATTAGCATGAGCTTGTGTTTATATGGTCATCAATTATTGCCTTGTTACGTAGATTGTACTCTTCATATAATTAAATAATTACATACTGTATCGTATGATTAGTGCAAAGCAATAGTAGATATAAATTTTTAATGTGTTAATAACAACAACAGTAGCCACATGGGGAGCTCAAAAAATTTATATATATTCGGAATATATTGTTTTCAATTAGTTCACATAAAAGTTTTTAACTGAAAGTACCATACGCTCAACAACAGACATGTACAGCCAACGAGAAATAAATGACTTAAAAGTTCGCAATCATTGGCTGATAAGAGAATTAAAAAGATCCTCGTATTTAATCGGTGTCAATCTCAGTACACAAACATTTCTTAAGGGTTGGCTAAAAATGTAAGTTTAACGAGAATAAAAAAAATATTGGCAGTTGTAGGGACTGTCGATAGAAGTGAAAACTTAGGGTTTTTGGTATTAAAACTCGAATTTTCACCACGTTTAAATTAAAACTGTAAACATCTATCAGTGATATCGAAAATTAATAGTAAATTTAAATTATTATTTATCGCTCAGAAAATAATCGTTAACTATAAAGTTACATCTTTTCAATCAGATATAGTTTTTACTCTTCGATTTCTTAGATTCGCTCAAGAAAATGATTATATTAACTTATACATACGAGGTGGATTTCACAAAAACCATATATTTCTATAACCCTGCCATCCCCTACGGATATTTTCAATACGCATGTGCCATGGTGCGCCCGTAATTACTCTTAACGTTTTCGATTGGAACCTTTGAATTATATCTACAGTTAACGCTATATTTTACATATTTGGAAAAAAGTGTTCAAATGGTTTATTATTATATAGAAAAACAAAAAAAAAAAATACTTACAACAGCGGAGGTTATTAAACGAGAACTTAAAATCCTTCATATTTTTCACGCAAAAAATTGTGTACGAAAGATAAGCAAATGGCGGAAACAAATTTTTCAGCACTTTGTGTGTTTTCCATTAGCCTTTATTATATCACGTAAGCGACACGACATGGAATCGACAAGATTTGTTGTTGCTTCAGGTGTTATTTTTTGGCATTCTTCTGTAATACCTCCCAAAGATGGTCTAATTGCCTGGGAACGGGATAAAACATCAATTCCTTCACAAATTTTAGGATCATTATCCTGTTAAAACACCCAAGATCGACCCAAATTCAGTTTTGGACACTTGAATTCAAATTGTTTTTCAAAATGTTCAGGTAGTCCATCTTATTCATAGTACTTTCTATGAGAGTCAAATCACCAATCCCACCTGCGGCCATACATCCCGACACCATCCCCGAACCATGCTTTACCGTGGGTATTACATTCCTTTCAGCAAGTGATTTATTTCTTGTTCTCCAAATTTTGTGGTTTTTATCTTTTCAAAAAAAGAACATTGTTCCAAAAAGAAACTTCATTTTGGTACCTTTAAGTAAAGATTAAACGCATCTATCGATTCGCTTTGGATATCAACAGATTTTTCTGGGGAACTCGACCATGGAGACCATTTGAATGTAAGGACCGACGTATTGTGCTAGCACTTACTGCTACACCTTTTATTTTTGAAATATTTTTCCCCAATTTTACTGCACTTTCAGAAAGATTTTTCTTAACACTGCGCATAACTGAGCTTATTTTGTCAACACTCAACCTCTTTGGCCTGCCTGTTTTTGGATGTTTCTCAAAATTTCCATACTTGATATGTTTATCAATAATTTTCTTCACGGTATTATGGTTTCTATTGATGATAGAACCAATTTCGCGCAAATAGTTTCCTTCTTCGTGATATTATAGCACAACTTTTCGAATATCGAAGAATGTTTGTTTCCTCATTGCGAAAAAAATCATTTACATCGCTTCAACTACTAATTCCGACTAAGAAAACAAGCGAGCTTTCATACAAGAATAATATTCCTCGATGGGATAACGGAACCTGACGGTGACGGTAATCATGTTCTCTTGAGAACCAATATGTAAAATATTACAGTGTATAATCAAATAAAAACTTAACTAATAGATTCTATGTAATAAACACGGGTGTACACTTTCTTTTGACGTTGACTATATATTCGTCGAGCAAGCTGTGCCACATAACTGGATTACATACATATCGGTTTTATTGTTGATAAGGCTAAGCCCAGACTTCTTGTTTAAAAGCCATTTATGTCGACGTAATTACTTAGTCACTTGTATGAATATCTGCCGCGAACAGTAGGTACAATATTGGTCCAGGACAACTACCTTTGAGAGCAACTGTCGTGATTTGATTTGGTCCTAGGGAAAAAAAAGTCATAGGGTGTGATGTCTGGGCGCACATTGTTGATTCGTTTTCCCAATCTTTCGAGTACTTGGCGATGGTAGAGTTGATTTACGGTTTGCCCCGGTTGAAAAAATTCTTTTTATACGATTACACTGCTTTCAAAAAGGGCAATAATCATCGTTTTCACCTTCACCTAATAATACTAAATTTGACGAATCAATGCATATGTCGATAGCAATTTGCAGGCGACGCATAACCAATCCTTAGCAGTTTCCGAAAGGCTGATGATTTTTCATGTGTAGCTTTTATTTCATGTCAAAAATGCACTCGGAAGGGTTTACATTCCCTACAGAGGGTCGACCGCAATTAGAAAGTTTAAATTAATTTTTTATTTAAATTATTTTTCGGATTATATAATATATATAATTATATTTGCGCTTTGTAACCGCTGAGGCGATTTTCGGCCGAGCTCCTCCTCCAATTTGTGGTTCTGCGTCTTGATGTTTCTCCAACAAATGGAGGGACCTACAGTTCATACTAAGCCGCCTTCGAACGGCTGTTGGTTTTTTTATGAGGAGATTTATTTCATGTCTGAAAGGCACTCGAAGGCGTTCACATTCAGTAAAAATTACTTTGATCCATATGTTCATAAAAAAGTAATAATAGTCGTAGTGCAAATTTTTGACCTAGTGCAGTGAAACTTCGTTTCATCGCATTGGCTCAACGTTATTTTTTGGAATTACAAGAAAAGCGAGAATAAATCTTGACCACTTTTAGAGAAAATTTTCAAAATTTATGTTTTTATCGAAATAATCGCGTTTTCAAATTTTAATATAATTTTTGTTGTGGATATCAAATATTCAGAAAAGTTGAGCAATGAGACGAAATTTAAGATGCAGTTACTTTACATTGGTGGTTACAATAGTTTACGTTCTTTATTTCACTCCGCTCATATTTCTCACTCATGTCATTTAAGCTCTTTTATTTTATTTGAAAGCCACTAGAGTTTAATAGCAGCATAACATTAGGCGTGATCCAATAATAAGTTTAATGTGTTGATAGGCTAAGTTTTCTAACTAAATACCCACCGGCGTACTCCAGCTTACTTCTATGGTTTTTCAATTGAATCGATATGCTCAGACCTATCATTAACATACTGATATACTCGTAAATCTCTTATACTGACTACGTTTGTTAAACGATATTATCGACGGCCGTCGGGTGTAGTGAAGCTTCTGGCTGTAATGGGCTTAAAGTGCAAGATGCGGTAATCAACCCTTGGGTCACGATAGGAAGCTTCGGTTTCAGCGTTCGCTGCGGCTGCGAGCGAGCGCCGGTCTTGAAGTAAACGGTCCGCTATATACACGTATATAAATCTGTAAACAATTTAAACTTTCTCGCCTAGCGAAGTGGTCCGTTGGGTTTGGAACTCGTCCCGTAGAAATCAGATCCAAAGGAAAATTAAAGATATTATCTTTTTTAAACCAGTTATGAGCCTTGTGATCATTTGAATGGAATAACCATGTTTGGCCAAATTTGTCAGATATATATTTTGGTGAGTAAATCAGTATGTTGTATACCATTTCATTCAGAGCCGGATGTCAGATATTTTACATTTTATTTTCTTGCGGCCCGTGAACTTATTGGCTTATATACTCCGTGATTTTTTTAAATGATTGACGTATTGCTGAGTTTAAGTCCTTTCTAAATACGGCACTGGCCTTTTTTGCTATTTTGTTGAAATTCTGACCACAGACATCTTTTGTTATCTCTTAGAACACTTAGGTTGTTGGACCAATAAGCCAGTTTTGCAATGTTCATCTTGAAAGCTTAGCCTCTTTTGGATACGTTTGGAGTTTATTGATTTTTTATATAAAGACAGCAATCCTTAACTTACAAGAAGTATTTTGACTGTTGCTGTGAAAGTAATTGGTATATTTAAATCTAGGTAATTATTAAATAGACCATTAATTTGTCACTCAAATAATGAAAAAGAAAGGTGAGAAAGTAGGGCGGACAACATTGTATGTGTAGATGAGTGTTGTGTTGTCGTTTTCGGTTGTTTTATCTGACATACCACTGGATGGGCGGCCGCGATAGCCGAGTGGTTTGTATTACTTTCTGATACTCGGAAGGCTCGGGTTCATATCCAGGTGCCACCAACATCCAAAAGTCATGGAAAATTAATTTAAATAAAAAATTAAGTTACTTTTTCTAATTGCTGTCGCCCCTCGGAGCGAATGTCAACCCCTCGGTGTGTATTTCTGACATGAAATAAAGCTCTTCATAAAAAACCCATCAGCCATTCGGAGGCTTAGTATAAACTGTATGTCCTTCCATTAGTTTGAAAATCATCAAGAGGCAAAATCATAAACTGAAGAGGAGCTCGGCCGAAATTCGCTTTAGCGGTTACAAAGCGCCAATTATATATATATATATATATATATATATATATATACTACTGTATGAAGTTCGCTTAGCGTTATTGAGCTTTTTTCTTTCTTAAATATTGAATGTTTTCTGTTTTGTTATGTTGGCATATGAAGTGGTAGTCGAAGTTTGCATTCTGTTTATTCTCATTGCATCACGCATAGATCATTTGTTCGTGTTTTTATTGTAACTATTTCTTTTATATGCATATACTTCGGACATGACTTGCTGGAGGCTGGATGACTATCTCAGCAGTTCGGTCTAACTTTAGCAGTTAGCAAGAAATTTAAAATTCTTCGAGTAAAGTACACGTCAAACGTAAATAGAATAATGCTAATGAGAGCTGGTTTATTGTTTATATATTTAGGCAATTTGAGATTTGATACAATATCCTCCGCATTAAAATTTTCTATGATTTCCTTATCTGGTACTTTATAAAATTTACAGAGGAGCTCTTGTTCAGAATTGAAATCTAGTCCTTGTGTTGTGACTGGTATTTCCATTAATTACACACTTCTGCAAATATTCTAATTTACATCTTTTAATTCAATAAGAGCATCCAGCGGTATCTCAATAAATTCGTCTGCAGTAATGTTGCTGACTTCAGTTGAGTATTGACTAAAACTTTCTGAAGACGTGAAATTAGTAACAAGTTATGAGATGAAAG